GCACAGGCAGGGTACCATGATGCCTTATTTCCCACAAAGATGGCCCAGTTAAATGCCCATAATCCCATAATTTAGGAAGAGAGGGAAAGAACCCATTGGGTAAACACATCGTTGGGCACTGTTGTGTGCCATTTAACCGGTTCCACTCACAGCAAACCAGAAGGACAGAGTTGAGCTGCCTGCCCACTAGGGTTTCCCAGGCTGTGAATATTGACTGGACCCCTTTGGAGTCGCTAGTGGGCTCAAACCGCTGACCTTTCAGTTAGCAGCCAAGTACGTAACCACCATGCCACCAAGGCTCCTTTGCTGCACACGAGGCAGGGTGATTTACAAACATAGGATTCAAGACCTGGGGGGATCCAGTACTGTGCTGACTGGTAAATAGCCCCTAAAATGGGAGAAAATAAACTTGAACAAAGTCTTCTGACTTTAAGCTCTGTATCTTTGTGGTACTTACATAATCTGGTGTCAATTTGGGACTTGAGAGGATTCAGAGTGAAGGGGTGGAGTCTAGTCTGTCAATCGGGTCATGGCCAAGAGGCCTCTGTGTGAGCATGGCCTTCTCCTGAGAATTCTGGGAAATCTGGCATTTCCTCCTTGGAGGTGGGAGACACCTCTCTCTCTGCTCACTTCCTGTGAGACATCCCTGAGGAGAAGCCACATGGGCCTATCCCGATGCAGCCGTGGGTGCTGGAGAAGCCACGTGGAGACCCCTGCCAGTGCTACAAGGCTTACACCGCTACTGGCCAGTGATCATCCTGCATTCGGTGTCATTGCACATGTCTCGTGTGAGTCTGAAGAGGACTTTATAGATCGGTCTCGGACATATGGGCTAATATCGGACTTATGGACTTGATCTGGACTGGGCTGGGATGTTTTCTCAATATCCAACTGCTCTTGTATATAAACCCCTTTCTTATACACATGTATGTTTCTATGGATTCATTTCTCTAGTCTACCCAGACTAACACAACCTTTCATTGATTTGAGTTTCTCTCATTGATTTCATCACATTTCAGGGTATGCTGGCCCCCATTAATGCTGGGCTATGTTTTACGGTTCATTAGTATCATCTGTTATTATAAAGTTGGCAAAGAGTCTATGAGGTTATCCATGTTTAGAGAGAGTGAAGGGGGGAAGTAGTGTGTGTAGCTTATAACATGATAACTTGTGACATTAAATGTCTCTTGCAAAGTAGCAGAAAGGCATAGAGGAGTGTGCTTTCATTCCACCACTGAAGAGCCCTCCAATCTTAGGCAATCCCCGACTTTCATATGCACAAAACAGCGACCGATTGGCCGCCTACACGGTAGGGCGGTCGTATTCACGTCCTCAACAGGGTGAGAAGCGACATAACAGAGGAAAAACAATGACGTGACAGATGAACTTCTTGCTAGGAGTTACACAAGTTAGAACTGGGGACCATTGAGGACGCGGAAAGACCAACCAGGATGACCAGTTTCAGCATCACTTTCACTACAAGGGAGCCCTGGAGCAACCCGCACGCTTAACTAGCTTGACCAATAAGCCAACCCTGAGGTCCCTTGGAAGAAAGACCTGGTGATCTCTTTGGAAAAACCAGCCACTAAAAACCGTATGGAGCCCGATTCCACTTCTGACACACAGTGACGACTGGCTTCCCGGGCTCCCCGCACAGAGCAGGGCACGGTGCCCCTTTCGGGGCTCCTCTCCTAGGCAACACCGCCTAGAACCCCCAAGCACATGCAAACTTCCCTCTATCGCCAGCCACCCCGTCCACTTTGTGTGCTTGTTTATTTATTTTTAATGAATCATTTTACTGGGGGCTCTTACATATGTTGCCAGCATCATTTCCAAAACATTTTCTTCCTCCTTGAGCCCTTGATATCAACTCCTCTTTATTCTCCCCTCCCATCCTCGTGAACCCTTGATAATTTATACATTATTCTTATGTTCGTATTTTACACCGTCTGCTGTCTCCCTTCACCCACATTTCTGTGGTTCGTCCCCCTCAAGGGTGTGTGTATGTGTGTGTGTGTGTGTGGGGGGTGTTGTACGTTGATCTTTGCAATTGGTTCCCCCTTTATCCTCTTTCTCCCCCCAACTCCCCCCTACCCTCCTGGTATCGCTACTCTCAATATCGGTCCTGCGGGGTTGATCTGTCCTGAATTCTGTGTGTCGAGAGCTCGTCTTACCTGAGCAAAAGCATGGCCTGCTCCAGACACCGTTGGCTTCTGTTGTGCACACAGGGCATGGGAGACGGAGTCTGCCCTGTCTCTGTGCCATGCCCTGTCTCCCGACTCACCGGACACGCCATTTCAAAAGCACAGCCCGCCTCGACCTTTCTCCCTCAGCGGGGTTCCCTTCCTGGGTCCCTGCCTCCGGAGGGCAAGTGTTTTTCTGGAACTCCCTTCTTTCTGCCCCCAAAGGATGCCTGACTCCCAGGGCGGCTCTCTTCCCTCTCCTTTTCCTTTCTGCCTTCCCTTTGTCACGCGGGATCTCTGCTTGGAAGCCTCTGGCAGCTCAGACCCCATCATCTAATGGGCGCAGTCTCCTGTCCTGATCCCGATGGCCCCGCCTGCTGTCTTTAAGGCGTTTCACCTTCCCATCGTCTGTGGCTTCCCTTTCTACGCTACTTACTGCCCGTCGTCGCCCGCCTCCCCATTTGTCACCGAGTCCCGTGCACCTGGCCTCCCTTGGAAGCTCCTCCACCTCTTTGGTCACCCTGTGGCCGCCCTGGCTTTCGGCTGCACCCCTACGGTTCTAGACCACGGCCAATGCTTTGCCCGCTCCGGTCTGTGCTTCTTCCTCCCTCAGGCCGTTTGTCTACTCTTGGCCTGTCACCCCTTGTTCCACTGACCCCGAGCGAGCAAATGAACCCCTTCGGGAGGCCCTCCCTTCCTCGTGACTCTTCTTATTTATGAACTGAAGAAGCAGGACCCGGTGGCCCTTGACTGGCCTTCCAGTGTAAACGTTTAAAGACGCGGGGTCTGCACGGTCTAATAGAACCTTCTGGACCGATAGACAGGTTTTAAAGCTGCGCGGTCCCATTCAGCAGC